TTTTTTTTTTTTCTTTTTTCTCTTTAATAGCTCAATGTTCTTTTGCTTCTTCTTTACTACCCATCCATATAGGTGTATTCAAAAGGTCCTTGGAGGCAAAAATGAAAGGGGGTATTAGAACTTCAGTCGGATTTCGACTGGGCCGGCAGCTCCAGGTGAAACAGGAGAGTCGACGTCCATGTTTGGGCCTTCAGACTCTTCGCGGAGTTGGAGGAACTCGGCTACCATGTCTTTACCCTCAGGCAGCTCTCTCACGACGTCATCATCAACGATGACGCTGAGGCCGTCATCACGGACCTGGATGGTGCGGATGACGTTAGCAGGATCGAGCTTCCATTTCCTGGCAAGGGCTTCGACGAATTCCTGGCTATTGCGCTGCTGGATGTAGATTGCATGGTGATAGTTTGCAGTCTTCTCGTCATCGTTCTGGCTGGCCTTGACGTAGAAGCAGTGTTCTGGAGCACGTGATATATGTTAGTATGGATATGGACAATGGACAAGGGCGTATTGATATTGATATATCAAATAACAAAAAAAAGCAGAGAGAAAAAAAAAGGGAGGGAAACGTGTATAGACATACTTGGGACGATGACTGCGTCTGATGGAGGGTTGTAGTTAGGGTCGACGCCCATGGCTTCAAACCATCCATCATTCGCATCAGTAGCGCCTTGTCGCTGAATTTTGATTGGATGGTTCAGAATCTGACCGTGCTTTGGATGGACCTCGGGGTCATGCGAGGCAAAGCCAGACCAGTCCACAGATCCGTGGCGTGAGTCTCCAAACATGACTCCATTCGTAGCCAGATTGGGCTTTACGTCGAAGGAGTGGCCAGAGGATGTGATAGAGCGATGGCTGCTGGCAGGGGAGAAAGAATGTGAGTTGGCTCCATCGTTGGTGGTAGGGGCGGTGGTGGCCTGGGAGGGATCCCAGTCAAGTGTGGTGGTGACGATGTTGCTAGTGTTGCTAGTGTTGCTGTTGTTGTTGTTTTCTAGAGGCTGGTCTATCCTCACAGGGTACGCATCGGGATCGTCTTCGGGATCACCCTTGAGGTTCAAGACGCTGGCATGTCGCACGGAGCGGAACATATCCATGAAACTCTGCAGCCTAGAATGTAGATCGTCTTCGAACGGTGCCTTTTCACCCTGACCTTGAGACCAAGACCGCTTTGACTTGGGCGTCTTGCTGACCTTGTTCCCACTTCCTCCCCGGGAGATCGAGCCGCTCCGTTTTCTCTTTTCCCCACTGGCAGCACCAGACTCAGCTTGGAGTATCTGGCTTCTGGTCTTCTCTATCTGCTTCTTCACATGAGTAGCGTCATTGGACAGTTTTCGCTCAGCTCCATGGTCACGGAACAGCTTCACCTTGCAGTACGAGACCTCAGCGTACTCGGGTACTGGAATTTCGGAGATGCCGGAAACGACTTGAGTTTTGGCACATAGCCTAACCGGGATGCCCTTCACACCTTTGGAGTGACTGAAGTCGGTTGAAAGGAAGTTAAACCGCACGGATATAGCACACTCGTGTCTTCCGTTGATTCTGTTCGGAGTCCAAACTACCGAGAACCCGTCAAAGTTTTCGCTCTCAAGCTGGACTTGCTGGTGGCGCAGGTCACCATCACCGCCCTGGTTAGGGTCAACATGTTCGACAGCGAGGAGTTTACCGTCTCTGTGATGGGCCTCGTTTGCACCACGTCCTTCTTGCCAGAGCTGCCAGCAGCTAGCAGGCTTTGATCTCTGTTCCTCTTCTTCGAAGGAGACTCTGATGTAGGTTCGGTATTTTGTGGGCCGACGAGGGGAGCTTAGAGCGGCCGAGTCGAAGATGGTCAAAATGTATGCCTGGCCCTTGTTGAGGTATGTGATTGGGATCTCGTCTGGGTCTCTGACCATCGCTGTAGCTGCACGGAGGACGGCGTGAAACCGGAAGCTAGAAGTAGATGAAAGACAATACGTTAGTATGAAAAAAGAAAACGAAAAAAAGAAAAGAAAAGAAAAGCTAGACAAAAAAGGCCACTGGTGTGAGCAGGAATAGTAAAGCTTACTCTTCATTGTAGAATTCCTGCTCCTTTAGCTGCTGTTGCTTCTGATCTGTGGCCACACTGGCCGACCCACGACGCAGCTGTAGCTGAGCAAAGGAGTTGTTATCTTGACTGAGAGGGCCTAGATCCGAATTTCTGTGCAGCATCGCTGTTGGGGGAAACGCATGTGGTTGCGCATACGCATCAATATGGTCTCCTGCCATTGTACACATCTGGTGTGCCATGGGTTGGCCGTAGGGTTGCTGCATGCCGGCCATGCTGATGGGCTGGTTCGAGATAACGGAAGGGTCCACGGAAGTAGTGGCAGCAGGTATTAGGGGACTTAGCATGTCGTCGAGCGGGCTGGTCATGTCATGGTGCATTCCCATGCCGGGAATCGTGGAGTAAAAGGGCGACTGGCCGTTTAGATGGGCGAACATGTTCTGGCTGTGATCCATCCCGACCTGAGTTGACAACCCCCAGGAAAGATCGTGATTTCTTGTGGGATCGTGCTGCTCGAGAACACCTCTATATTTACCGACAAAGCAATAAAAAAGAGACGAGATGGTTAGCCAAATCTGTAATATCTTTCACTGACACACACACGCACTCTCTCTCTCGCTCTCTCTCGTGATGCACGGCAGCCGGAGCAAATGTCTCTTTTTTTCAACAACAAGGCAATGAACACGTCTCTCCACCCATGGTCAAAAATCCTTGTGACTGCCAACAGGAGAGGAACTGGAACTGCTTGGGCTCTCAACGCCCCCTCCCCCCCATCATGCGGGTGAATCGATGACCAACCTGTGAACGAGTGACTGGCCCATTATTGGGCGTCCACTTGCGGGTAACTTGGAAGAAGTGAGAGACCGACTAAGGTCCGGCCGAGTAAATGCACCGGGGCCGTTTTGGACGAAATTCCTTCTAAACTGTGCGTAGAAGGCTTCGTCCGGTTTTTTGGAGTTGTTTCTGGAGACCGCAGTCAGTTCAGCGTCAAATACGACAATTGCGGACGTCCTCTAGCAAGGAATCGAAACGAGACGGAAAAGACAGCCAAAATCACAGGGGGTGGGTATATATAAAAGTTTTCTCACTCCTTTTTCCTTCCTGTACGTACCGATTTTGAAACATGCCGGTCGACTTCAGGGAGAGAAAGGAGAGGAAAAGAAAATAGAAGCAAAAAAAAAAAACAACCTCCAGGGTGTGCAGAGAATGATATAGAATAGGGGGAAAGAAAACAACAGCCGCCCAACCACCCAACCAATCTGGGGATTAAGACTATTCAAGTTATGGTGTAGGCGATGGGGGAGGGTATAGATTGATGAGAAAAAAAAAAAAGACAAAGAGAGAAAAAAAGGCTGGAAGGGGGAGAAGTAGAAGAGAAGTATGACGAGCTGGTGGTATTCTACATTCGGGAGTCTCCTTTTCCGTTTCGTTTCTTGCAAGCAACCAGATGAGAAAAATGTAAACCGACCTCAATGAAGAACTGAAGAACGAGGATATAGAGAGAGACAGGGAGAGAGAGAGAGAGAGCAATCCGGAAAAAGCGGCTGGTAGATAAATCACAGCCTTTTCTTTTTTGCCTCTTTCTCTTTCTCTTAGCAGGGCGCAAGTAAGAGCCGGGATGGAGAGAGAAACCACGAGGATAAAGAGGGTCTAGCTCTAGATAGAAGAGAGGCGATGGAGACGCAGAGAGGGTCGAGAGGTCGAGACGGCTGATGAAGCAGCAGCAGCAGCAGCAGCAGCAGCAGCAGCAGCAGCAGCAGCAGCGGGAGGAGATGCTGTATGTTCTGGTAGGGGGGTTGGTTGAGGGCGAGCCAGGGGTCGGTTTGAATTGTTGGCTCACAGGTACAAATCCAACCGAAGCAGCCGGTTTGGTAGTAGTTTTATATAAAACGACAAACAGCTTGTTACTCCGCGTCCTCTTTCTCTGCTCGCATGCACACACAGACACAAGACACAGGCACAGGCACACAGCAGGGCCTTTTTTTACTCTTTTCCCTGTCGAAGCTGGTGACGATCAGTTTCTCTCTTAAGGGAGAGGAGAGAAACGAAAGACGTCGAAAAGCTAGAACGGTAGGGGGGGGGAGGAAGAGAAAGTAAGGAAGAAGAAGGAGGAAGAAGAAGAGAAAAAGAGCTTAAAATAAAAATATAAAAATAAACCAAAGAAAAAAGAGACGAAAGACGATTAAAGATATATTTGTAAGGAACCGCTTCCCGGACGGTATCTAATATAGTATGTCTTCTTTGCAGGATCCTGGTCAGGGATGGTATCGTCTGGCCCGGTGCCCGTGGGGTTGATTGGGAGGGAATGAGATGCAGGCCCGGCAAGCAGCAGGAGGAGAGACCGAATAAATGTCAATCAACAAGAAGAACAACAGTTCTCAGCGAGTCCGAAATTAACTATAATGACGATAGCAGCAGCAGCAGAGCGGGAAAAGAAAAGAAACG